ATATAAAAAAAAATCAATTGTATTTATGTTCTTAACCACAGAGAAGTTTGAGAGAGCGTGTTAAAAAAGGTATTAGCAGCTTTCCTCGATGTCCTCTGAAATGCATGAAGCGAAAAACCTTATACTAGCCCACATCCAAACTTTTTTAGGACCAGGCTCTTGACATACTAATCCCAATTACGGAAAGGACACAGATGTCCCCGCAAAGGCCAATCCAAGACCTCTTTTGTTGCATGTTGAACCTTGGAAGAGGGCAATTACGAAGACGTCACATAATGTCGAACCTTGCAAGGCCTCCTCTCTTTCCCTCCCTCCCCCACCTGCCTCGACGCGGCCCTAAAAAACTGACCTTTTCAGTTAAAACCGAATTTTAGAAAACAGACTGGACATACTTTTAGCGATTTTTATCGGTTTATACCGAACACGCCGAACCTACGAACTGACCTGTTTTGGTTAAAACCGGATTTCCGAAAATGGATTTGGCATACTTTTATCGGTTTAAACCGAAAACTCCGAACCCTACTTATAACAATCTAAGCTACATGGAAGAATACAAAAACTGAAGTTGTTGGTGTAAACACCCACATTTTGAAAAACCAAATATAAGAACACGGCTAAACAGTGCCAAATGTAATACTCGGGTTCCTTTCCACCAGGGAAAAGCGCTCAAAATAGAACAGTGCATACAAAAAGCCGAGGAGAGCAGGACACACGACGTCAATTAAAAAAGACTGCAATTCCACAGAATGTGCAAGGTAGTCCAAATTTGCTTACAATGGTCACATAGTTTTACTATCTTCTCACCACATTGGGTACAGATGCATGGACAAAAAATTACTGCTTTTTAAGGGGCAACGCGCAACATTGCTTTTCAGTAAGGCAGAAAATCACATTTCCCATGCTCCCAAATTTACGAGGGTAGCGAAGAAGATAAAGACGCAGCTCTGCATGTTCTCTGCTTGGAGAGTTGCACCCTTGAACCAGCGGGCAATGAAACGATTGCCGGGACGCCATTCCTGGCTTGCTCGAGACAGTGTCACTTAAACAGTTGAAGAAAGCACTACAAACGTCGGCACTGGAACGAAACTGCAAGTAAAGATGGCACCTCCTGCACTCGCACACACCAATTGTGGGAGTGCCTTTTTTCAGGCTATCTGAAGCAAGACACTGTTTCATTCGAAATGGCCCAGGCCAAGATATGACGTTAGTTTGCACATTAAGGATGAGTGGCCTACCAGGTATCTGGGATGAGTTATGTTTTGCTCACCGATAACATAAAGTATGCAGTGCCCAATGCTCAGCCTCCACCCAAACGTGGCACTTGTGGTCGGGATCCACATGCCAAAGTTTGAGAACCCCTTATCCAGTTTTTAAAGTTGTAAGCGATTTATGGGAATTTTACAGGGAGATGAATGCCATCTGTTACCAAGAATGTGCCCCACTGTCTCATTAAAATTGCCAAAAATTGCTCGTAACTGTTCAATCAGATCACAAGAAGCTCCGAAACTTTGGCACCTAGTTCGGACCGCTGGCGCTACACTTCGGCGGCGACCGACCATTGAGTGATGCGCAATTTAATTTTGTGAAGAAAAAAAAAAAAAGTATTAAACTTTTTTTTAGGCACTCAGTAGGTGACTTTGGATGTCCTTTGGGAAGGATCAAAGAGAACTTATGAAAGAGCGAACCATATCTGTGTCAACTGAAAAGAACCTCAAGGTAGCAGTTTTAACGGAAGGGCTATCTATTCCACGGGCCATTGTTCTCGGACGGGTAATAAAAGACTGGGTCACGAGATATCGTAGAAGGTTGCCCTGGGCTTTATCATAAAGGTGAGCTTCAGTGTTATCGGCTGAAACAAAGAATCGGCTATCTACCTCAGCCTAAAGGAAGCGTTACTCCTTGGACTGCATACCTTTTACTTTCTAAAACATCTGATAATGCCATTAATGCAAAGGTGCAAGCTGGACAAGAATAACGATAACACCTAGCTGTTCTCTACAAATCTCCAAACATCTAGCTGTGTTTGGAGATTTCTGCTTGTCCTTTGTCCCCTTTGTTCCTGTCTCCAAGGATCATTATCGCTAATGCGTGTACTAGTTCAGCAGTTTGCAGCACGGGTGGGGCTAGTCTTATCATAATTACACCTCTGAGAAGGAATTAGATATCAGGGTTAAGCAGAAATATTCTCTAAAATATTTAGAAATACAAATACTGGGATACACAGCAAAAAAACTGATACTGAAATACATTAACAAAAATGTATTGCGATACATACCAGAACCACATTTGAAAAATAGAAACGTATTGGGAAATACAAATACAGGAATACATTTTGGTGGGGCTGAAATACAGACACTAAAATACACTCTTATAAAAACATTATTTTGGATGCACCCCTTAGAGCATACGAAGAACAAAAAGAAGCATGCTATAGAATGCAAGGCTTTGTTTTTAAACCAGTAAGCGAGTTATCGCTGCACGTTGGAGCCTGAAGCTCGCATCACATTTACTGCAGAATTAACATCTCATATTTTGGGAAGTAGTAAGGGAAGCAAGCGATTTGTTCACCATGGGTCGAGCACGGTTTTATTTCGGGACAAAGTCCCAGGGACATCTAAATCCGTTTTGTGTCCTACCAAAAAACCTCAAGAAGTCACTATGATTACGTCTAATCAGGACGCCTCTTTCAACAGTGACCTTATAACGTCACCGTGGAATCAAGTTCAAGGGACCCGCATCCTTTTATCTGTTAGTTGGGCGCGCCGACAGAGTCTTCAACTTTTGGAATCGTCTGGAATAGTCGACCACCTAAAGTGTGGGAAAACATTTCTTAAATTTTGCACAACAAAAAAAAGAGTCATCTGCGGTCAGAGACACAAAACGTCCCTGACTAAACCTCGTCTTGACCCTCTGCATGGAGGTCAACGATTCTTTTAAAATTGTAACAAGTACCTAATAGCATAGCAATACCAAAAATACACTCAAAAATGTATTTCGATACAGAAGTACAAAATACAGCTGTAAAATTGTATCACGATACAGAACTATAAATACATATTGTATTTCTGAAGTACCATCGCGATACATTTGTATCGTGATACTGCCCAACCCTGTTAGATATAAATATGTATGTGCATATAATACCCATAGTGACACAAGCATACCTTACGCTAATACTAATCGGAGAAACTGGCACCTCATAAGAAATGAGCTGAGGCTTTCCTGGAAGAGAGATTTCAGCATGCAGCTTTTTACCCGGCTAATTTTGAAGATGGAAACTCCCACAATATTAATATCTATATGGATGATAATGATATCTTTGGGCGATCTACCAGTCAATTTCTGTGTAAAAGTCAGATTGTTTATTCAAGGGACTATGAGACGATTCAGCATGTGTCCAGTTGAACATGTTTAAGGAAACGCACGTTCGAGGAAGCTTCCTGCTCGCTAGGTACAGCCGACAATTTTTGGGCAGTATTTGTCATTTGGCCTTTTGAGTATTACTACTCCACAGTGAAGACAAAATAAAGGATATACAGATCTACATACAATCCACAGAACTCATGTGTGGGTAAAAGGGATCGTTGGCCCTGTGAAGAAACTGTATAAATTGCGGTTTTTGTGTCTTCCGGTTTTCGTCCTCTATTTTATTCTCTACAAACACCGTGACTCAACCAGCACGCTCCATTTCCACGAGTGTATAAATTGGTTTCTTGGCATATCGAGCTAAGATTTCATACAGATGGGGCCAAAGATGGTGCATTCTGAGCATCAAAATTTCAAAGAATGAGCTTATACGTGAGTAACGATTAAAAAATGTAGAGCGTGAATTCGCTACCTATGGCAGCCGTCTGCTAACAAAAGGTGTCTGACTGGCACAACAGCCAACAGAGTAAGGGTGAAGACTCCTACAACAGCAGCCAACGTTTTTGACTCAAAGCAGTATGGGCTTTTACAGTGTAGAGCGTGATATTGTTCATTTTACTCATAAATCACAGTGAATGGATACAAAAGCTACAAGAAAAATTCTTTGTCGGGCTATTTCGGTAATGTCAACAGCTGCTGCGTCATCCAGATGTTGTCCATCTGCAGATGGCCTCCGAAGGTGGCGAATTCACGTTTTAATTTCTAACTCCCTACACAGGTACGCTCATATTTTGGAAGTTTGGTACACAAATGCACCGTATTCGCCCAACTCTTTACAAGATCTTAGCTCGATACGTGAAGAAAGCGAATATGGTCCCTTCAAAGGGCCAACAATCCCTTTGATTCACGCAGTACGGGGTGTCTCCAAAAAGAGTCTACAAGGTGTTTTTCACCGTAAAATTAAAACTAAGCATCGCCGAACGCTGCTTCTCCACCCTAAGGTAGTGCTGGAGGTCCGAACCAGATGCGACAGTTTCAGCACGAACCGATATTTTATTCAAAAGTTATAAGTGATTTTCTGGAAATTTCAATGGGAAAATGGGGCTCGTTTTTGCCCGTTTTCGGTTTCTGGCACCATAGAGCTCCATGTATTCCAGAGCTCCGTTGGCCACCATTTTCACATTGAAATTTTAAGAAAAACACTTCTAACAAACAGGTATATAAAGTTTCTGTTACCACACAACAAAAGTGGAGCAAGTAAACGGCATACTTCGAAGCAAGTGCCGTGAACGTACACTGGCAAGCAGCTGTAAAGGGGTAAACAACTGTATTTTTCATACGTTTTCTCACAATAGACGGCAGGTGTTGTGAGTGACAGGCAGCGTGAGCGCACGAGCGTTGCAAATGCCGTTCAGTGTGGTAGGAGTGAAGCGGTTGTCAAGACATGCTCTGCCTTGCGCTACTTGTAAGATGTGACCCGACATTCTACGAGTAGCTCAGTATGCGTGGTTCTTAAACGCGCTGAGGAAACAATGCCCCCATACTCAACGCCGCTTTCCATACGGTGACGGACGATGTCAGCTGACGCCCGCATGGCATGTTGTGTGCCGGCAGATCGGTTTTGATTATCTTACCCTGGTCGAGTTGAGAACGAAGACTAGGGCAGCACCGGCCGCGGTTAGGCCCCACGTGAACAGGGTACCGAGGATGGCTTGACTTAGAGGCGACAGACCCGCGATCATTGTGGAAAAGTGACACACATCAATGGGACCACGCACCACTACCCCACTCCGACGAGCAAGCGTGCGGCACAAATACTGTAGCACAAATTGCGGGCGACGCTGGGGGTATCGCTGCGCCGATGGCGGCGATCGGCTGAACTAGACGAACGGCTAAATGGAAACAAATTTGGTTCAGATACCAGTGTCAGATGCCTCAAACTTGTTGACACCTTTGCTTTGTGCTATTATTTTGTTTCTTTCCGGTGATTGGAGCGGTGATACGGTGTCGGAATACGTTGTCTACAGGGAAGCGGCCATTGCGAAACCTGGGTTAAAATGTTGTTTACTTTTGCTGAGTTCTTTGAGATGGTGTTTCGCTTGCGAACGAACGTAGAAACGAAAAGTAAACAAAAGTAGTTAGCGCAGGCTACGGTTTGTTCCTACTATTCCTACCAAGGACGCTCGAAATTTGATCCTACATGAAATACTGCTCCGTTGGCTTGACCACGGACTGGGCGGATGAAGGACCTCAGATGGTGCTGTCAACCCATACTTTCACCTTGTTCGAACGCCGGTATGAGAGGGGTCAAAAATAAATTGAAAGAAAAGCGCCTGTTCACACCTAGCCAAACGCCTAAGGTACGCCAGAATCCTGCCAACGGTTGAATTGCTGTCATGGTGCAATGGATCAAGGCGCCGTTATAGAGTGCGGAGGTGTGCGTAAAAGTTGGGTTCGAATCCATTCACATCCAGCTACCTCGACCTTTCATGAGTGAGGTGCGGGGTCGTTTTACGTGTGATAAATTACCTGCCCTGGCGCATGATAGTGTACGTACGCCCAATATCAGTGCGTTCGAGAACGTGCCAGGACATTTTACAAATTTCCGCTTTTATTTCGCTGCTCTTTGCTATTTCGCAGATTATGGAATGTGAGAAATCGTTTTGCTCTGCTGCACAACTAATGTTACTTAAAAAATAATAAAAATTAAAAAAAAAACGAATACTTCTACATAAAATAATGTAGCTGAAGCAAATGGGAGCGAGAAAAATAGTACTTTTAAGTTGTTTTTTTGTTTTTCCATTTTCCTTGAAGTCAGGTGTTAGCTTGTTACGAACTTCGTATCAAAATTAAAAAGCCTCGTCTTGCTGTACTTTGATTACATGGTGAATACTTCCGTTTATGGAGAAAAGGTCACAATGATAACAAAAAGCAAACGATGTGGATAACGGACAACGTTAAATGTCCCCATCTGTTCAAAAAAAAAAAAACAGCCTTTTTTTCCTTTTTTTCCCTTCTTTTTTGCGGAGGGGATTTTTTTAAGAGGAGCGTCTCCAATCTTTTCTCTTTTTTTTTTGCAAAGGCTTTTGGGTTTGTTTTGTACGACTCGGTGTATTTTCCGGGGATAGTTCGCCGGATCTACAGCTCGCAGAGGCAAGTTTAGGCTGAAGGGGGGGGGGGGGGGGGGGGGGGGGGTACACCCCCGCCCTAGGGAGTGAAGGGAAATCATTGATACACATCATCTGGCCACCTCATCGACGTACTACGGGAGGGCCTACCTGGAGTCAACAACGCTTTCTCCTTGGACGTTGAGGAATTGTTTTATTCGGTTCCACACGACGAACTTCTAGTTGCTGTTCGGGAACTGATTGAGACATCGGGCGTTCTTGCGTTTCAAAACGCGTGTGGGGTTACGGTTGATGCCTTCCTGGAAGTGTTGGACTGCTACCTAAACTCAACGCTTGATTGCTTTGAGGACAAGGTGTATGTGCAGAGGCGTGGCATTTGTATCGGGTCTAGTGTGGCGCCTGTACTATGTGAGATTTTTCTTGCCAAGTTTGACCGCTCGGTTTTGCATGAGTTGGTTGACTTCCCCGTTGTGAAGGTTTGTAGGTACGTCGACGATTTTATTATTTTTGTTAGTGTTCCTGCAGAGCAAAGCCTGGTCTCTTTAGTCGAGACTACTCTGGAAGTTTTTAGCAAATCTTCTAAGCATTTACATTTCACCTACGAACTTCCGTTGGAAGGTTTTTTACAGTTTTTAGATGTCCGGTTGTCTTTTAACTCCCTTGACCATGTGTGCTGGATGTACAGGCCACGCACAAAAAAGGCCCTTTTAGCCTTTGACTCAGCCCACTCTAAATTGATAAAGAGGGGCATCGCATCGCTCTGCCTCCGGTCGGCTCTGTTGAAGTCCTGTCCGCATGTAGTTAGTGAAAGTTTTGACCTCCAGACACTTCGCTTGGAACACTCCGGGTTTCCCTCGGTTTTAATACAGGGAGTTGCGGAATCCCTTGTAAAGAAGTTGAAATGCTCTTCCGTTGTACCTAAGAGGAAACCAAAGAATTTTGTAGTGCTACCTTATATTCATAAGGTGTCGCACAATCTCAAAAGGATAGCATCAAAGTTCGACGTGGACGTTGTCTTCACTGCCCCGTGCAGATTGTCAAAATTGTGCGCTATGGTGAGCGGGCCTAAAGTGAAGAAGCCTGTTTGTGGCAAGAAACACGTGACAAAGTTTGTACCTTGTGCCACAGAGGTGGTTTACAGGATTCCTCTAACGTGTGGCCGTGTTTACATAGGGCAGACGGGACGTTGCTTAAATGATCGACTTCGAGAGCATGCAGCTTCTCTTGGCAACAATTACGGTTCCCACTTACCGGGGCATTGTAGAACTTGTGGTTGTTCCCCCAAGCTGGACGGTGCGAAGGTGGAGGGACGAAACAAAGGAAGGAGGGAACGAGAGTTGCTGGAGGCAGTGAAAATACGTGATTGTGACAAAGACGTTTGCATAAGCGTCGCATCGGTGTATATGCAGCAGAAAGAGTACCATTTCATTAACACTATCTAACTTGACAATATTAACGCGGCGTTTTTTCTATTCTTTTCTCGTTCGGATTGTGCGGCGGGGTGATGTAGCTGTTTTGCTGACTTTTTGGAAAGGGCGGTGGGCGGTATGATTGTGCGGATTTGGCGGTACGCCCTGTCTCTGTTGAACGAGACTAAGCACGTGCATGGCGATAGCAAAGTTGGAAGCTTTCAATAAAGTTTAGTTGCCAGTTAGCGTTTGTCCTGTGTGCTTCTTCGTCTTTTTGTCCCGTCTCTTTTGCGCTATTTTTAATATGAATGTCCACTACCAACTTGCCCAGCAGACCAAGCTTTTACACTGTTAGGACGCTTTCGTTTCTTTGCATTGATGCCTTGCATTTTGTTGTAAACGCTTTTGTTTGATTAATGTCTTGTTCGCGCTGGATCGCCGCACGGCCGCCGCCGCATTGGACATGCAAGGAATGTTACAAGTTGGCGGCGCGTCATGGCCAATGTTATTAGATTAGCTCAGTTACGGAACTGCTCATTGAGTTGCATGCACAAGCCACCCCCTCACTCACCACGACTCGCCTCTCGTCGTTCGACGCGCCGAACGGCCGCTATGGGAACTGCAGCGCATTCTACGAAATACGTACGTTTCGAAGCGCGGCTACAGTGGCGCGGCGTTAGATGGCTTCCCAGCTCTGCTCTATGGAATTCACACAGTTCGTAAACGAAAATCTAGATGGCGCTTCGAATGACGGGAGGAAAACGAAAATCTAGATGGCGCTTCGAATGAGGGAGGGGACGAAAGGTTTTCAGCTATTTATACATGAAGAGTGTAGACACAAAGTGGAGACAGCGCACTAGGAAATTAAGAGGAAAGTTTTTGGGCTATAGCGAAGATACGGAAGAGCAAGTCTCAGTTAAGAAGAAAGTTAAGGCCACAGAAAGAGATTGGTGGCTAGAGGGAATGCAGACAAAGACGGCTCTGGAAAGCTATAGATTAAACAAAAGAGTTATTGCTAAAGAAAGCATTTATGACAATTCTAGGGGAAGCTCATTGCTGTTTGAGGCAAGAACGGGTGTTCTGCGAACCAGAACATACAGAGTGAAGTACCAGGAAATTGATACAGTGTGCACTGCTTGTGGAGAGGAGGACGAGACGGCTGAGCACTTGATACTCTACTGTAAAGGGCTTCACCCTATGCCTACCGAAGACAACATAGATTTAATAAAGTCATTGGGTTTTAGAGACAGCGAAGGGAGAGTGGATTTCAAATCTGTAGAGATTACCAAGCAAAGATTAAGTGAATGGTGGCAGAAATCGAGAGAAAACTAGGTATTTTCTTATCCACTGATGGCAAGGGGGTTTCATAGCCTCACTTTCTTTGCACTGCGGTGTGAATATAGATTTCACATTTAAATATTCTAAGCTTAAATGGTAAAGCAAAATGGCTAGGTGGCGTAAGCTACCGCCCGATCCAAAGGGCTCAGCCGTATTCATCCATCCATCCATCCGACCTACTGAAGTGTGTGTATATGTGTGTGTGTGTGGGGGGGGGGGGGGGGGGGGGGGGGTTACTTCCTTCAGCGGGAGTTCCACAACTGAGGTAACTTATGGTCATGGCAGCGTCGTACGAGCAAGCCGGCCGTGTCGCGGCGGTCGCCTAGTGTTCGCCGCGACCTGGCGGTAGCCGCCGCAGGAGCATCGGGCAGCAATGGCGACGAACAGCACGGCGGACAGTGTCCCCGGTGTCCCCGTCGTGATTACGACGGAATTTACGGCAGTTACGAGTTCGGAAAATTCCTTCGGAAGCCTGTGCCGCCGGCTGAGAATCATCGCGAAGTAATAGCAACGAACAGCACAGAGGACAGTGGGCGACTAAGAATCCGGAAAGCTTCTTCGGTAGCCGGTGCAGAATCACCGGGGGGAAGCAGTGGCGATTAGCAGTACAGCGGACAGTGTTCCCGGGGTGATTACGACGGGGTTTAAGGCGGTTACGAATCCAGAAAGCTTCTTCCGTGGTGCCAATAGGGAGTTTTAGCAGGTCGTTTCCACACGAACGGTTCGCCCTCGAACGCATCCGCGACGCCACTGCGCATGCGCGCGCGAGTCGTTCGGGGAGTCGGGAGGCTCTTCCAGCTCTTCTCGTTCGTTTCTCCCATTCCGGCCGCTCGAGTCGTCACCGCAACGCAGCCAGCACCGTTCACGACTCGGGTAAAAAAAAAAATGGCGATCGGTTTGGCGACCGCTTTCGCCGACCCAGCCGAGCGTTAGGCTTAGGACAGCGGGAGGCGAT